ACATAGCACCTGTGCACCCTGGCAAGGGGTCAGGGACACCCAGTGAAAGGAGGGCCATGGGACTCGGGGTGGCTTTTGAGGTCTTGCAAAGTCGTGTAAAAAGAGAAGCGAACCTGTGACTACAGAAGTGAGAGCTACGTGCACAGGTCCACATCCAGAAGGTAATGCACATCTCGTATTTGGAGGTACCTGGAGGTCAAGGCTACACATTTTCCAGGTTGACTCTTCCACCGGACAGAAGCCAGTGTGATTCTGAGGCACATTTAAATCTAGAAAGTTGAAGTGGGGGCATTGGTCCGAAAGCTCCACACAGATAAGTATGTTGCCTGTTGCCTAGACCGTGAAATTTTAACTGAGTCAGAGAACCCCATGTGGGGACTCCCGTGAATGAAGCCAGGATAGCTGTGTCATTAGGGTATGTTTCTGGTTAAATGCTGACATAGGGAACACGGGGAGAGCAGGCTGTCCCCACTAAGTCTCCATCTGACTGGAGGTGATTCCTCTGACTGCCATCTCTGATGCAGAGGTGACATGTGGACCGAGCAGCACGAGGTGGGAGCTAGCTGACACCCACGGGGGAGCGTGTGTGTGCATGGAGCCCGGCCTCGGTCACACTTCTGTGGTGCTCAAAGCGTGTGTGGATCTAACTTCAGAGCAAGTGACTCTGAGATACTGGAACGAAAGGGAGAGGGTCTAGAAGGCTGAGAACAAGAAAATATCACCCCCATTTTCCAAAGCAATGGTTCCGAACAGCTACAGAAGCGCACACTCACACCGGCTTCCGGGCAAACCCAGAAGAGGCATCGACAGGCTCACGGCATTGGGGAGGAAAGTGGTGGTCTCTCAGAGGCAATTCGAGCTCTCTGAGAGAAAGTCATTCCATGCTAACCTCATTTCCTGTTTTGACGAGCTTCACCAGAACAGCCGATTAGGGGAATGCCCCAGAAAGTGTGTCTTGCTTTCAGTAAGCATCTGAAAACCTCTCATTGTGTCCTGTGTATACACAAAATGTGTGGGTGATGGTGTGACCAGGAAAATTCACAGTCGTTAGGGGAGCCATCCCAAAGAGGGTCAATTTGTGGCATCACGTCAGCCCTGCTGCCCCTGCGGCCACAGCAGTGTGTCAATGGCCAGGTTGGCAGGGCTGCCCGTGAGGTCTCAGGTGGACAGACTGCTCAGTGTTTCTCCCCACTGGCAAGTCTGCTTTCAAATGAGTCTCGGCAATCCTGTACCGAGGAAAGGTTGAGGACTGCAAGGTGACAGGATCGGTCTGTGGCTGGTGTGCACCAGTTGTGTGCCTTGGATGTTTCCATGGAGGGCCACAGGGCCCTGTCCCATGTCCTACCCAGTCTCCGTGTTGAAAAGAAGTTGGAGGAAGAGACACAGAACACATGTTTCTCAAATTTGCAAATCACACAAACCTCTGAGGGAAAAACGGCATCAGATGGTCTGCTCACAGTGAGAGAGGAGCTGGGATGAAACAAGGCGGAACGGGGGGAAGTCCTGTGTTTCTTTAAAAACAGGATCTGCTGCAGGAGCACAGGGCCCAGGAATGCATGGTCCTGGTTACACTGTGTCCTCGGTGTGGCCGGACACGACAGCACAGCGCATCAGTGGCTTCGCCTCGCCTTTTTCATTCCTCCCGTGATATTGAGCTCCTCCTCTGGCTGGCAGGCACTGCCAACCCCTTCCCTGCTTAGTTATGGCCTTCTCGTGAGGACAAAATAAGTCAGAGGGGGTAAAGTGCTTTGAAAAAGGGAAAGCTCTGAAATTCAAAATAGTATTATTCTTTGTCGTAAGGTGCTTTCCCTCCGAAAAAAGAAAAAAATCTGACAGTCTGCGAGTGAAAAAGCAGAAAATGATTCAGCTTGGGCTTCTGTTTCTCCTGCTTTAACCCCAAACTGGTTAAGCTTGCTGAGCGGCCTCAGGGAATCCTTCTCAGAAGCCTGAACTCTTCTAGCTCCAAAGCCCTCCTCTGGCTTTTCCAAAAGTTCTCCCTGGAAGCCCTGCTTCCTGTTGTCCTAAATTCCAGGATTACAGTAATCCAATAATCATTCAGAAAGCTCCCTTTCCAGGGCTGGCTCTTCAGAGATGCACATCGAGTGTCTGGCTGGAAAGCCAGATGACTAGGGTTAGGACCTTAAACTTTTTTTTTTTTTTAATATTTTATTTATTTATTTTTTAGAGAGGGAAGGGAGGGAGAGAGAGAGAGAGAAACATCAATGTGCGGTTGCTGGGGGCCGTGGCCTGCAAGCCAGGAATGTGCCCTGGCTGGGAATCGAACCTGGGACACTTTGGTTCCCAGCCCGCGCTCAATCCATTGAGCTACGCCAGCCAGGGCTAGGACCTTAAACTTTTACAGGTATTTTCAGTTCTTTCCATTCTACCAGGCAGTGCTTGGAAAGCATGTTTCCTTAGCTGCTGCACAATCCTGGGCTCAAGACATAGACAAAAAACACTCTCAGCACCCTAAACTCCTTTTGGGCCCAGTGTGAGTTCGTTGGGTGGCTGCAGGCTCCGAGGTCCCCTAGACTGAGCTGTCCAGTAGAAACGTCTGTGGTGACACATATGTCCTGTGTCTGTGCTGTCCACCATGGCAGCCACAGTCACATGTGTTTATTTACATTCAAATTAATTACAATTAAAAATTCAGTTCCTCGGTCACAGCAGCCACACTTTGTTTCCAGCGGACACGTGGCTAGGGGCTACCGCATCTGACAATACAGCTCCAGCCCACAGCTCTCAGCCTTGCCTACGTGATGGAATTGCCTGGGGAGTTTAGGGTGGTGGGGGCACCCCACCCGAAATTCTGATGTGATTGATCCTGGGGGAGCCTGGTCACATGGATTTTTAAAAACTCCTGGGTAATTCAAATGTCTGGCCAGGGTTCAGAATCATCTAGAATTTTGTGGTCAAATCTCTTGTTTGTTTTCTTGTTACCCTCGTGAGCTAATTACCCTGCAAAGCCTATATGAGTTGTTTCTGCTTCTCCCTGAGTCTCTGACTTCCATCTCTTCCAGGTTATAAATATCTTAGTGGGTTAGTCTCTGGAATGCTCACAAGCACAGGTGAGGAGTGACCGGGTAGGAGAAGACATTCTTCCCAAAGGCACCCCCTTGTTCCAGGGCAGGGCATGTCCGGAGGGGCTGGCTTAGGTCTAGGTGAGCGCCCATGGGCATGTCCACAACCATGGCTGAGCCTGGGCTCTTTGAGTTCTCAGGGGCTTTGTCTTGCTGTCCTCAGCACCCTCTCCATTGCCACCTCCTCCTCTAGAACCAGGAGAAGTAGAACCAGCAGTAGGGGAAAAAAAATAAAAGAACCTCCGGGCAATGTGGGATCTGTGGAAACATGTCACCTGGTCCCCTCGTGTTCTTCTGAGGGAAGCGGCCTCCAGAGAAGTCGGGTGGCTCGCCAGGAGCGAGAGCTGGCAGAGCAAAAATGAGAGCCTACACTCCAGGTGCCTCCAAGGACATGGCCCTCCACCACATGGTCACCTTTAACCTCCCAGGAATGCAAGTAAATACAACTTGGCTTAAGGACATTTATTTCCAAGGCAAAGCTTGGTTCAGATGAGAGTCTGATTATTGAGAGAGCATGTGGCTCACGATCAGCTTTTTCTGCTGGGTGAGTCCTGCCAGAAAGCCTGGCTCCTCAACTCAGCTGCTCCATTCACTGTGTTACCTCATCAGAGATCAGTGGATGCAGTTCCTAGTCCAATGAACAGTGGTTAGAATCCTGGGCTGCCGACACCACGGCCTTGCGATGAGAAGGGACTAATGAGATAATGGACCTAGTCAACACATAATTGATGAACAGAACATCAGGGGCTGGGACAGACTGGGCAATAGACAGACCAGAATCTGCCTTTACACAGCTGAAACTGGGGGCAGGTAAGAGGCCAATAGCTAATTAATAAATAAATGATCAGGATAATTGTTGATAGTGGTAAGTTCTGTGAAGAAAATAAAATAGACCCATGAGCTAGGGAGAAATAGAAGGGGTCCCCCCAGAACGTGGTGGTCAGAGAGAGCCTTCCTGAGGAGGGGACACCTGGGCTGGGACCTCGGTTCCAATGGCAGTATCTACTGTGCCATGCGCACTGCGGGGGGTGAGGGGGGAGGTTGTTGAGATTTTCATCGTGGTCTACTGAGAAATTAATCCTGAGAAGTGTAAACAGTACACCAGTCATTTTAAACTGTTCTTGGATGTCTGCTAAGTGTAAAAGTGAAGACTGGAAGTGCCGGAAGCAATTTCTAATGGTGTCTTTGGCTGTCTTCCTGGGAGGGTCAAGCTGTCGACTCCGTTGGGGAAGAGAGTGGGATGCCAAAGAAGAACGCTTTGAGGAATTCAACCATTTTTAAGGAATACTTAGTTGCCAACTTCAGGGGCTCAGATTTAAGCAGTCAGGACACCTAAATGAAATGACCGTGCTGTCCATCCATGATAAGTACACGTCCCCCTGCACGTCATGGACAACCCCCCAGTGCCCACTCACTCATATGGAGGCTAGTGGAGCCGGAGGCCGGAGCAGAGCTGGTCCTGGCCACTGCTCTGTCTTCAGAACACAGCATGGAGTAGGCCCCTAAGAGAGCTGTGCAGAATGAAGAAGTGCACGGGTGACTGATGTGTGGAGGGAGAGAGGATGGCAGCTGAGAAGACAGAGGCGTCTGGGAGAAAGCTCAAGTTTGGTGATGATTTTGGGGTCACTACTGGCAGGCTAGTTCAGAGTACACCCACTTCCAAATGTCTTCCTGTGTTTTTCTGAAAAGCCAATATGCCAACACCGACTGGAGAGAAGCCTTCTACAGAGGCAGAAGAAAAGGCTGAGCAGAGAAGTCTGAGTAAGAATAGATTCAAGCTCAACATGCTTCTAAAAATGTCATAATGATCTGCATGGTTATGGCAGGGTTTACTTGTGGTCTTATAGAAATTAATCTCAAACACAATTTGGTACCATTTAAATTAGTGCTTAAATATAGCTAATGAGCAAACAATTTATCTATTTTTTGCTTAGCTTTTAATGAAGAAAAAGAGATTAATACACACAGAGACAGCAAGATAAATAGGAAGCCACCCAGGCTAGATCATGACCATAGTATCGCAGACACATCCTCAGCAAATGCAGAGGCCCTTGAAGTCCACGGCCGTCAGAGGCAGTCCCAGGGCAGGCCTGTCACCTGCATCCCGGCTGTGGGCAGCAGGCAGGAGGTAGAGGTGCTGGAAGGGGGCTGAGTCCTGATTTTTTTGTCTGTGTCATTTTCGATCAAGTGTGTCATAGAGCTTCCTGTTTCATCTCCCAGTTATTCTGAAACAAAAACATGCATGAAAAACACAGGTCACTGCCAACCGCATTGAGAGACAGTCACTCCAGTACGTGGAAACCAAAAAGGGAAAGACAGATCGTAAATGCCACAGTGAGCTGGGGATCAAATTTATCAGCATCTATTCAAATAGTGATAGTTGACAAAAATTGCGGGTGGCGGTGGGGGGTGGGGCATCGTTTAAAAATAATTCAGAAGAGCCTGAAAAGGCAGATGTTCCCAGAAGCTCACTCACTGCCTATTTACTGACAAGTTGAGGTCAGACTCTGGGTCAGGGTCTATCCGGTGGCAACCGAGGCTCTTCCCCTCATGCCCCTATTGGTCCAGCTGGAGAGTCACGCAGGAATTTCCACACAACCTGTTTGCCCAGATGGTTCCTGGAGCCTTCTCCCAGTAGCAAAGAGAGTTAAAAGAGGTCCCTGTGGAATTGCTACCCCATGGGGATGAGCAAGCATGGTGGTACTGATTTTCCAGTCCCCTGTCCTCTCCCATCCCAGGGGAGCTGGCCTCCCAGCTGTACATGAGGGCATCTTACCAGATGAGCTTGTGCCCAGCAGCCCCAGCAAAGTGCAGGAAGGCTCCTGACCAAGCAAAGGCCCAGAGGACAGTACAGCCTGAGAACAGCTCCAAGGACTCTGGTTCTATTAAATCCTGTTTTGCCACTTGAGACAAGAATGGTTTGGCTTTTGAGGAGCACATCATTTGAGAAAGCTAATTTTCTCCAACAAGTGGAAGGATGCTTCCAAAGATACAGAGAGGGTGAGCAATGGAAATAGAGACAGTACTACGCCACCGCCCCCCCGCCAAAGTCTACACTGCAACCCGACAAGCCAGCTGGTGCTTTACTCTGCTACTCAGAGGCACTCTGGGAGGAAGATAGCAATGCCATGGGAGGGATGTTCTTGCCGTGTTCTCTGCCCAGCCACCCCTGATGGTCAGAGAAGGGACCAGTTCTGCCTCTGACTGCTCCTTGGGGGCGTAGCTGTCCCCTCCACATGCAACCTGCCCAGAGGCAGCCCTGAGTTCACCAGGAAAGCCGGCAGCCCTGCTCCTCCCCATTTCCTGACTTTTGTTAATGGCACAAAACTGAGTAAAAAGGGAGAGGGATGCGTGATTTTGAAAGAACTCCATCCTTCCCCAAGAGATTCATGCAGATGCACAGTACCATACAAAAGACCCTGAGAAGTCAGGAAATGAGGAAAGTGGTTAGATTTGGCTGTTATGTGCATCCCAAAGAGCTATCTCTCAGACAGCAGCCTTTAGCAGCGTTAGGAATGCTATGCGGGCAACCCTGCCCAGCCCCTCTCCTAAGGGCCATCTGTGGCACTACAGGCTTCAGGAAGCAAAGCTTGCCCTACAAAACCCTTGCTGTCCAACACTCACAGGCAGCTGTGACAGCCTGTATGTCTTTAAACTCTACATTGTTTTTCCCCAGTACCTTTGCTCCATATCCTGTACACAGGAGCTAGCCCATTCACACAAATGCCTGCGGCCTTTCTTTCTCTCTTTCTCCCTCCCTCCCTCCCTCCCTCCCTTCTTCCCTCCCTCCCTTCCTTCCTTCCTTCCTTCCTTCCTTCCTTCCTTCCTTCCTTCCTTCTTCTAAAAGGCTTCATTTGCTAGTCGCTAGTCTATTGGAAAAACCAGCTTCCTGGTATGTGCTTGCATTTAACAATCCAGAACAGAGACCCAAGATTTCATATGCAGAGCCTTTCTGGGTGGGCAAAGAGAAACAGGAACTAAGAAATGCATCAGTGGCCAGCATGGAAGGGAGGGGAAGCCTGGTTCCTTGGTGGCTTAACAACCTATACTCCTCTCCAGCACCCCCTCCAACTTCTGAGTGAGATGAGAAACCAAGGGCAGCAGCCCAGGCTTCACGATGGAACACCTGGCCATGTGGACATGACCAAAATCACAGAGCGAGAGGCAACAGGGTCCTGAGGATCATCTGGTCAACCTTCATTTCACAGGCACAGAGGAAGGGATCCGTCTTCCCCAGGTTACATGGGAAGGGACACTGCTGGGATGGAGACCTGAGTCCCTCCTACCCAGTCCTAGATTCTGAATATCAGCTTCCACTACAAGGCCTGACATAGCTCGAGTTTGTCTGGGAACTTTGACATGAATGCGTCAATCCCTTGGGATTCCATGTAGGCCTGGCTGTCTACTTATCACTAATTCAGAGCCCATAGCACATACGGCTTCCCATGTGCCAGCAAACACTGAAAGCAGGTGGAGACCAGTAGCATCTCTCCTGTGTTGGGACAGTCCCAGAGGAGCTCCTGGTCACACATTACTCTCTCAGTCTGACTCCAGCTTGGCTGAACTTTGCTGTTCCTTCAGTCTCTAGTATTCAAGGGGCACCAGTGAGGTCCCTCTACTGTGGGTACACAACATGATTGTCCCTCGGATCTGAGGGATAGCCTCAAGGTCATACACATCACACTGAGCGTGGTCCCTCACCAGGGACCTCAAATGTAGCCTGGGGAACCCTCTGGATGCTCTCCAAGTGAAGTCCCAAGTCATGCCATCTCTGTACTGGTTTCAATCAGAGGAAAGGCTCCTGGCTGAGGGGGTGGAAAAGGGGAGAGAAACAGTAACTCAGACACCCACTCCCAGACTGACAGTTCCCTGAGCAAGGAGCTTTGCCCCTCAGTGCGACCCCAGTCCCTACTCCCCAGGCCGTAAATACCAGGCAGGGGACAGGAAGACCACAAACCTCACTTTACTTTAGCATTCACAGTGCTGCCCATACGTCATGCTGAGAGGCCACACAAGAGCCCCCGGCCACCCACAGTGGCAAGGCACACCCGAGCCTGCTTTGCACCGGGTTTTCATCAGCACTCAGGAAAACAACCAGCTGGCACTCATATTGTGATAGTGGCAACTCGTGCTGGATTCTAATCATGTTGGAAACCCACTTTCTGAGATTCTAAAATGATTTCCCAGGAGGATGGGGTGTGCACAACATCGGTTCTCAAGAGTGCACTATTTTTACTTCTCACAAAGCTAAAACCTGGAGGGCACACTCAGAAAACCTCCGTTGTTTGTCACATACAAATTTTAGAGCCGAGTGATATGAGTCTTGGGTAAATGACGGGGATCCTGCACCGCTGCTGCAGATGTCAGGCAGGGAGAGAGGCGCCCACACTCAGGGCTCTGTCCTTGCTTCTGAGGGGCTCCCATTTCTAGAGCTGAAGCCACATAAGGCTGAACAGACTTAGAAGCTTTCTGGAGGGGACCTCCCCTGAGAAGCGGTTTTTGCAAAGTGTTCCACGCATCACTACAGACACACAGGTGGTTCAGAAAGACTCCGTGTCCCTCAACACCCCTGTCGGCAGATTGCGCGCTGGTGCCAGGGCTCCCCCGAACACAGGCAGGTCCTCCTGGCCCGTCAGCGAGCACATCGGACGCCAGGCACTGCTCCGGAGGGGCACTCCCTGCTCAGCATCCCCGAGGCCCTCAGATCTGTGCTGCTGGGGCAACCGCTCTCCCTCAGGCGCAGGACAAGTCTGGCCATGAGCAGCAAGCAGGGCCCAGGCCCAGCGCAGCATTCTCCTGTGGGAATGAAGGGATGCTCCTGGTTGTTTCCAACCCCCTGACCTGGGGGGACCTTGGGAGGTTGCTCACCTGTGGTACAAAGAGGTCACTCCTTCCAGTTGTACCAGAGGTGGGAATGGAGACAAGGGTGGTGACACACAGACTTTCTTCGCTGGATGACTTCCTGGCCCAGCCACCCTGCCCCTCAGCATGGCCACTTTCTCTATAAGATAAAACCAACTTTTCAAAGAACAAATCCTTGAAAACATTCTAGCAGATCTGGGCTGGTTGACACTGTGACAGGGAACTTTGGTGTACAGCTACTGAGCAATGCAAAGGGTCTTCTGAAAGGCTGGTTTTACATCCAAGGCTGTGCTCAGCATTAGAGGAAAATGCAGACAGTCAGAGGTTCCATGAGGCTTTTAGGGGCTCAATCACCCACAACCATGGCCCTTGGAGTGGACCCCCAGAGGGGCCTCTGGACCAGCAGCCTTACATACCCCTCACTTTGTTAAAAAGGCAAATCTCAGGCCCTGTCCAGACGTCCTACATTGGAAGCTCTGGGAAGGAGGACCAGGCTCATCTGTTTTCATAGCCCCCTAGCAATTTAGACCCAGGCCCAGAATCACCACTGGTGAATGACACCGGCTCCTTGTGGTTCTCTTGTACCCGGCCATGGGCTCAGTGCCTCATAACTGTGGCCACTGAAGGCTGGCCATCTATCGAAGTTCTCACTTCAGTGCTCACCAACAGCTTTCTCCTGAGACCCCCACAGTGGGGAGGAAGAGCAAGCAGCCTAAAAGCCATGCCCAAGTTCTAAAAGCCGTCAACAAGTTCTTGGGGTGACCTGGGGAGAAGGGTTAGCCGATCCATCCCTTATCTCCTTTCCTGGGTGCTGCTCCTGTGAGCGGCCAGGGCTGGGCACTGTGGGGCACTCCTCCCACATCGGTGGACGGCCCTTGGTCATCACACCTTCCGCTGGCCCAGCCGCATGCTCCCTGGGCCTTCCTTCCTCTGCTGTCAGGCCAGCTTCCCTGAGGAGAACACTTGAGCCATGAGGTCTACTGGCATTTCTTTCAAACTAGCGAAAAGAAAATGTGTCATCACCTTGACCTGCCAGCCTGGGAGGGGAGGGGGACAACAGCGGCCCAGCCGACATCCGATCACGCCCAGGTAGAGACCAGCAAAATGCTCACCACTGGACAGCTAGGAGGCAGCATACGACCAGGCCCAAAAAAGTAAAAAAAAAAAAAAGTAGTTTGTTTATCATTTTTAAAAAACTAACCTCATACAGGAAGTAGGAGAAGAAGAAGAGGAGGAGAAGAAAAAAACACAAGCCCAGGCTGTAGCACTGCAAGTGGCAGAACTGGAAGGGCTCACCATTGTCACAGATAGGCGAGGGTTACTCGGTTTACATTCCCCACTTTGTGGGGGGTGGTGGGAGCAGGTGGGGACTTACAAACACGGGGACAGAGCAAGGAAGGGGCTGGTGAGTCACGAGGCACAGCCTTGGCAGACGCAAGGCAGTGTGCATGGCAGAACCGAGTCCCGACCAGGACCTCCCTGCAGGTGTCACAGTCCCAGTCAGACATGGAGAAAAAGGCGCCTAAAATGGAAACTGCCATCGGGGATCATCCCACGCACCTGCCTCTCCTGCCCCACGTTCTGTCCTCCTGTGTGTTTCAGGCTGAAGACACAGGACTTCCAAGACGGTGATCCTCTGTCCCCTCCCCCCTTCCCCCTCCCAGAAGGGCAGCCCCAACAGCAGTCAGCAGGGAGACACCGCATCCTGGCCGCATATCCAGCCAGGAGGCCCTGCAGCCCTCTGGGATGACAAGTCTTCATTGGCTTTGGCTTAAGGACGCTGAGGCAACCCAGGCAGACAGGGGCAGGTTGGGTGCCGAACACAGAGCTCACTGAAATGTGGCCCAACTGGATTTTTAAAATAATTCTCGTCTACCCAAGAATTAGAATGAGGAAAACAAGGAGGCCAAAGACACTTCCTCGTTCACAGCACACAACAGGAGGGGGCCGGGGAAGAGGAGTCCTTCCCCCAAAACACTAAGCACACTGTACAGTGCTCGCACACTGAAAGGCATTTCAAGTCCTACTGTCACTGTCAAAGAAAGCCAAGGTCTTAAAAAAGAAAGAAAGACAGAAAGACAGAAAGAAAAGAAAAAGAAAAAAAAATTGCACACCAAAATCTCAAAATAGAACCAAAACCTGCAAATCATACTCAGGAGTCTATTGTGAGCCTATGCTGAAGCACCCTGTTGAAAGGTTAATAATTTTCCTACCGAAACTGAATGTGGGTTGTGAAAGAACATTAAAATGAAGAAAATTTCCCCGTGGCTGCTATTTTATTATCACCAAAGCCATCGGGTTTCAGTTTGAGTTATTTGTATTTATTTGTGAAAACAAAGATTAAATAAGTAAAAACATAAACCTCATCCTAATTATTGCTCAGGAGTATCTGATTTTTAAGACAAGAAAAAAAAGACCATCTCACACACACACTAAAGGCAGAAGTCAAAACAGTAGAGGAGAGAGGATGCTGTTATCTCCTTCTATTTTTTGAAAAAAATATATTATCTCATGTAAAACATTAGTATTTGTTTACAGTTTGTGAGGATAATGTAAGAGTCAATGTGTACTTTTAGTTATTGCAGTTTGTCAACCGTGTGTTCAGGGAGAGAAGTTTTTTTAAACTGCATACTGTATCTTTTGTTTGACACTTGCAAAAATGTAGTAAGAGCCTTTTAAGTGAATAATTAAGTTGAACACTTGAAAAACTGAAATTTAAGTGCAGCTTTAAAAGATCAAATCGTCAGCTGTGAGACATCTGACCAGGTGGGGCCGGGATGAAACGTGGGCTGTGGGTGCAAAGCTGGGTTTTAACCCCAATGTGTCTCAAACGCCAGGTGAGCACTAGCTTTCTGAACTCTCAAAAGAAATCCACTAGATGAAATGGTTAATCAGAATCGATGGGTGAGCAAAAACTTCTCTTCATGTACTTCCAGCACAACATAAACATCAGAATGAAAAAAAATAACATGCAAAAAGACCTTCAGTGGTCTCACATCACCGAACAAACTGTTTTTCTACCTATTTTGTGTTGCTGGCTTTTGTTATCAGCCCAATCGGCAAATTGTGGCCAGTTTTGTCATGGGTTAAGCAGACATTTTGTTCCCAAACTGCTTTCAAGATTTTAGCTACCAAATACAGTTTATGAGAAATTGAACAAGCCACAATACAAACAGAAAAGGTACCTATTCTTACTAAATTAACCCTTTTTTAAGGTCAAATTGGCATACACACACAAAAAATATCTTTTAGAAAGAATTCTAGTAAATTAAAATTCTGAAACCACCTAATTAGACTTTCCTGGAAAAAAAAAGAGTAATTAATGATTAACCCACTGATTGGATTTTGAAACCAACTACACGATATTCCCCTGGTCCTGACCACCATGAAACCTGCTTTCAATGACAAGCAATTTTTATTTTACATACACACACATCAAATATTGTCTGAACCCTGCAGAGCAAAACTCTGAAGAAGTCAATAGAATTATGCTAAGGTAAAATAACCAGTTAAGCAGTTATTTACTACTGAAAATAAACGACACCCACGTAGTTCATCTTATATATTAATATTGAAACCAAATGTTAGTCTTATACCGCAAATCATTTCATCAAGAAAAAAAACTAGTTAAAATGAAAACACAGGGCTTTATTTTATGAAACGTTAAATATGATGATCAAAATGAGAGAAAGCTGACAGAGCTTTTAAACAAATTTTAAAATTTGTTTCTGCTTAATCACTACAACAAATTGAAAATGAAAAAGGAATGAAAGAATCCTCGCTAAAAATCCAAGAATTACTCCTTAGGAGAAAAGCAGAATTTCAGTCAGAAGACTGAAGAAAATCCTGCTATTAGCAATCCTACCTCACATTTGAAGGCACAGCAATATGTACACTTTTAGCCTTTTAAAATACCAGCATGCCCACACATTATATCTCAGATTAAACCAAGGAGAAAATGACACATTCTGAAACCATTTTCTAAAGCTTCTTTTCCTGATAACACTCAGGCTCGTACAATCAAATTAATGAGTTTCTAAAAAGCCCAAACAACTCTCCATAAAGAGACAGGATTGTTCAAAACAGCCTGAAGACATGTCTAGATTTTTCAGGCAACATTCAGAGCAGTAGTCCTCACTATCTGCATTCAGAAAAGTTAAGCTGTTTTTAACGTGTCTGTTAGAAAGAAATGCTACTCAGTGCTTTGGCTAAATTGAGGAACAATTTGAAAAACACCAGCAGGTTCAGCCCAGTATTTCCCTGATCTCAAACAATTTAAAAATTAGTTAATTCTCCCCCACATTCTTTGCACAAGTATGTATTCTCATAATCTATTCATATTTTTTTAAATCTTAAAGTGGTAAAGAAAGGAAACACACCACAGAGAACAAGAAGTCACTGCTTCTGAAATTGGATTTCTTCATAAAACACAGACCAGCAAAAAAAAACAAACAAACAAACCAGTGAAGACAACTAAATACCAGTAACAAAATTCAGGAAGAACACTGAAAATATGTATTGACTGACAGGGAACTTAGCATGAGGAATTTTAAATCCTGGAGAAGACTAGGCACATTTTTAGTCAGTCCAAAACACTCTCAGTGAAGCAGCACTGCTTTTGGTGGCCTTGGACCGGTGGCAATTCCAGTGTTACAGCATCTGCTGCCCAAGGTGAAGCGGTGCTGTTTAAGACCAGACGGTGAAGCATGGGATTCAGAATTTACTTTTCATGTTTTTGTGTTTTAATTCTTTCTACAGTCTGTGACTATTTTGATACTTTAAAGCAAGAAGCCAGACATGTAAAAACGAACAAACCAACCAAAAAATCTTGAATGAACACTACAATTAAAGATGACAGGGCATAAGAGGACCCTGGTAGTCACCTGAATTTGTCACCTTGGGGCATTTTCTGTGTGAGTATTTCCTCCTGGCACACCGGCCCTGACCTCTACTCACCCTGCCCAGCATGATCAAACTCTTCCACTCAAACGAAGCCTGACCTTCACCGATACTTGCTGCCCTTTTCAACCACACCTCTCCCCTTCCCCCGACAGGAGACTTGGGAGATGATGGTGACTTTAGTCATCTGGAAAGAGTGAAACACGACATAGTCTTGCAGCACTTTCTTCAGAACCGTTG